ACTTTTCAATGCAGATCTTGGTAATCAGGACAAATGTTCTCACACAGGCGTTTCTCATCTGAATTGGATGCTTCTCTAACAGTGCCCAATCGGATACTCAATAAAAAAGCGTGGTTTGGGTGCCTGGCACACTAAATCGTTAAATTCACTGCTGCAGAACAGTTAAAACCAGTTATCCAAATACGTACGCAGTCCGTCGTGGAACCGTATACATAACAAGAGTGCAGTTAGGTTGAAGGGGTTTATAAAAAGGAATAGGTCCTCAAACAAAACAACAAAAAGGCGCTAATAATCGAAAGCTATCTCGAAATTTAAACATTTGCCGTCTAACCTATAGAAGCTTACACAGAGGTCCAATCAAAACGTTCCCTTATTTCGCCTTACCGGACTACTCTATCTTATATTCCTTGAATTGTCTTCTATAAGAAGACTACAAAAATGCCCGCATGAAAATTTGAGTTGAGAATGGTTTGCCATAGAAACTTGTCGTAATTCCGTGGGATTGCTTGCTTGATAGGGTGCGTCTGAAGAAACCTTAGAGATAACATTGACGGAAGCATGTGACGGCATCAAAAAGTGCGCTGCTGATTGAATTATGAACATGCTTGAGAAACATCATGGGACTCAATGGCCGCCCCACTTGTAGGAATTTTCATAACCGTTTCCATTTTTTACGGTATAAGTAGGATGTTCCTAATGCTCACACCTCTTGTCTCTCATGAAATGAAAGAAGTTACGTGATTCCAGGGGACCAACAGCTACAAACGAACCCACCTATTGTCGCAGCCCGTTCATTTGAAATCTTGTGTATATTACGGAAGGCATTCACTATAACCAATATCGGGTACGATACCAGTGTTGCAACACTCCGGTTCGCAGCAAATCGAAGTGTTGCGACAGTGGTATCATACCAAATAATTTTAGTAAGGACTCATCGATGTTCCATCAAAGCAAGAAAAAATAAATTCACATATGAATTTAAGACGATGTAGGCAGAATCCGTACAAAGTACAATTCGTAGTTTCTGAATTAGTAGTGCGTTAAGAAAATAATGATCGAGCAGTGGAAAAAACGCCACTTAAAAATTACAAATTATGTGGATTAACTTTACAGGGGAAAAAACTGTCGCTCATGAAAAAACAAAAATTCGGGCAGTATTGGATTGCATGGGACGGCGCATAACGGATTATAACCGGACATCGTCGGGGCAAAAATAAATGTCAGCCTTGAGGGGTACGTGTGCGGATCAGACAGGATCGGTCTGCAAGTGGTATTGTATAAGGTATTCAAAACGGACATCGTCAGGGCAGAATTAATACGCCGAATAAGACTATTCGCGTCAAAGTGGCCAGTCGAGAGTAACCCAGACACAATCGGCTACAGTCCACTTTAAGCCCAGCCGAAGAGTGGATAAGGGTTGTACGACCAAACTACTAATAGACGGCAAATACAGAGGGTTCCACCGTGAGCATCGACAGATTGCTTGAGGCCGAATTTAGGAAGATGACGTCAAGAACCGCGTAAATCGTCGCAATGGGAGAGGATTGATAGTAGTTTAACAGTCCGTTAACCCGTACACACAATAAGTACAAGAATTAAACACTCAGGCTGTGTAATAGAACTTATTTATAATAGCCAGTGAAGGAGAAACACTACTATCGTTCGTTTAAAGTCTCTATAGAACGCTATAAGCAATTCTTTGTCAAGGCGACAGCGACTCGCTATGGAAAAGTTGCAATAGTTATGATCGATTTATTGTGGAGTTCGTCAAAAAGGCCGTTATCGAGGCGACAGCGATGAGTCGCGATATCACGCTGTGTAGCGGCAGCACTGGATATGTTTCTCTTTGCCCAGGTTACCTTTTATAACCACCGGCACGTATTCCCTGCTGGCCCGTTCGCTTTATCATTTGACATACCACGTTTACCCCAAAGGAAATTTAAGTCAAACATGGTTCACTGTGTACGTTGGAAAAAAATGTTTTTGTTGTAAAAAATTGAATACCGAACGCTGATGTTCTTAGACCACCTCATGCGTATTCCATGAGGGACACGACGGGCCTGTGATAGGTCCTAAACGGAGAATTTATACCAACGGAACACTGACATTTACCGTTCAGCAGTGAATCTGGCCTACACTGCCATTTTCGGATTGCGTCGAGGGGACGTTTTAGTCGCCTTGTGAAAACGGCGTCCAACTCTAAACGTCTACACAGCCTCCTTTTTTCCACAATGCCTACACCTTTAATTAGCACTATAAAACTTTCAGAGGCGTTAACATACCTTTTATTATCTCATATGCTAGTGAACCATACAGGCCCTTCTTATTTTTGCGGATACCTTCTTTGACTGTATCACTAATTTTATGAGTTGCACCCTTAACAAGCCTCATTTTCAAAAAGTAAACACACGCTTATAAACGCTAAAGGCGCAGAGTTTTCCCTAATTTGATTGGTTATATTGGTCGGTCGTCAGCTGGATATCGACAAACCCTACCTTATAACGCATTTCTCGTCAAGTTTTAAGGACATGTGTTAAGTCCTCACGAGACAGTTTTTTTGAAACTGACGGTAGTTATGCTTCCCGCAAATCTGTTATGGAGCAGGCTAAATGCGCTCCTTTATAAGGAATTGTCATTCACTTCGTTTCTATAAATTTGTCTTTGCGTCTGTTTTCGAATTTCGAAAATAGTATCTAAAAATGTTGTCCTTCTTTCAGACATATTAAATTATAACAAAGTTTTATTATAATTTAATTTACAGTCAGTTTATTTTCAGATCGTAAGCATCTGAAAATAATCGTAGTCAAATTCCTAAATGAATTCCTTTGCTTAGTAAAATAGCCTGTGTATGTTTTAAAACCGTTGCAGTCCCAGTTTTCTTCTTACTTAATACTTTTTATGGTTTCAGTTAAAGAGCTTTTTCAACGTGTTTATGATTTGCGAATTTGCAAATCATAAACACGTGGAAAAAGCGAAAATAAAAAAAGATTTACATCCTGCCTTTTTTAAGACCCAAATATGTCTTATTGTTTTCTCCGTGGACTTCGCTCTGTAAGCTTGAACATTTTGCAAAAGTTTCAAGCTCAAAAGACTATAAATATAGTTATGCATACATTCATAATTTGGTTTTGTCCCGGGTTCAATCGAAATAACTTTACTTTGTCCTTTGACTCTTGCTGGCTTGGTTTCTTTTATTAGTTTACAGTCTTCCGAAATTCCTGTGTCTTGTTAAATTTGATAATCTGAAAAACGGACACAAAAACACGCATGGACTTTCCAGTTAACACTATGTTGGTTCATAAGTTAAGCCAACTATACGAGTCTCTCTCATTGGTACTGTTTTTTTGTGCAACTGTACAGCGTAACCACTTCCTTAGAACCTCGGTAATGAATGCCATTTAAAGGACATACCCAAGTGTGCCTGCTTTATATGCCATATGACATTAGGGCATCATGGGCGCGTCTCATCATACTTATCGTTAGCTTATACGACACGAAAATGCAACTTGATTTTTTGCAACGCGGACCGCGATGCTGATTTTGTGAACGTTACACTGGGACGAAAGTAATATTTTACGATTCCTTCCTCAGTCCTGAAGTTTTTACGAAGTACAATAAATACCTCGTCGCATTCCGACATAAGGACTTTGTGTGGCAGTTAGATTTAATTAATGGATAAATAATTGTGGAAGAACATGAAACATGACATCACATGCAAGAACGCATTGATGATAAGCAGGGAATGTTGGCCGATATGCGAATAAAGTAAGACAACACTGTTTCTCAATTTTTCTTCTATCGTTCAAGCGATCGTCCCCTTCGGGAGTACTGGGGATCAAAAACACAAATGCGGACGTACGCTCAGCATAATTAGTCTACAAAACTCTGTCAGATGGGTCATTAGCACTTTGTCAAAATTAATTTCATCAAATGGCATTCTCTGTCGTTGCATGTAAGACATTTTTATACAGACTCACATCATGCTTACCGATTCTAAGAAACTCCAAATTGGTGGCAGAGAAGAGAGATGCGCAATTACTTACCGGGGTGGTCTCGTCGAAGATATTGTAACAGAAAAGTATAGACTGAGGTATGGGCGGATCTTTCATTTGCATAAATAAAAAATAAACCTGAAACAATGCTGTCTACAACTACCAGCGTCTCTGTTGATACCCCCCGAACATTAATTGACCGAGATCGACCTGTTTGTAACCTCTGCCATGCATTCCGAGCTTGGTTGCTTCCCGAAGTTAATGGATATGTGTGGACGCCCTCACAAATGGATGTATTACTTTTGCGCAATAAAACGGATGAAAACTTTAGCGGAAGCAAGATAGCTTCCGAATTATTGAAAGCAGACGACAGAAGTCTTTGCTTGAGGTGTCCGTTGAGGCGATTTATGAGAATGCGGATGAAAATCTTTCTGGCGATGTTAATTAACGAGGTGTCTCTGTAATTTTTACAGAGTTGCCGGTTCACGTGGCTCTTGTAGAGGTAAAAATGGTTGCATCTTTGCAATCCTGGGAAACTTGTCCACAACACCACATCTCCTGAAATAGCGTGGTGTATTGGTCTATCAGACGTGACCACCGTGCCTGTAGATTTCGTCTGGGACTCCATCGAGGCCCGGTACATTCCTGCTGGAGAGTTGTTGCACAGTACGAGTGGTTTCTGGGGGAGGGCGAAAGATCCATGTCGACGTTGATTTTCACTTGGGGAAGCCGGTTGATAGCGGCTTCAGAGATTGCGGAGGGACGGTTAAGAACGTTTCTGAAGTGCTCGGCCCAACGCTTCATAATCTGCATCTTCTTCGTCAGAAGCGTCGATCCATCGGAGCTGAGAAGCGGTGCAGTTCCTTTGGTTGGGCGGCCATATATAGCCTTTGTCGTAGCGAAGGCTTTCTTTGATTCGCTGCGGTCGTCATATCCCTAGATTTCATCGGCCTTGTCAGCCATCCAATCATCCTGCATTCCTCACAACCGTTGCTACTCAAGGCGGCGTCAATGGTAGAAGGCCGATTTGTTCGCGTCGGTCGGACGGTCGAGGTAGGCTTTCCGCAGCCCGTTCTTCTCAATGAGCAGGTTGTTGAGGACTGCGTCGTTGTCGCTAATCCAGTCTTGTTGTTGGCGACGTTCGCAGTCAGGGACACCCATGGCGGTGTAATGAACGACATCGCGTAGTTGGCACCATCGAGTCTCCATGGAGGCGTTTTCGTCTGCGGCTGGCAGGCCTTCCGGACGCTAGGTCAGTTGATCGCTTAAGTGCAGACGGTGAGCAAGCAAAGACAACAAAGCAGCATTCGGCTTACCCGGGGGAGTCACTTACCTTTTGGCCTCAAGCAGGGTTGCAGACGGAGCCTCATCTCGGAGCTGACAGGGAGGTGGTCCGTCTGGCCGTCGGCATCCGGGATCGCCTGTCACCATCACGTCCTGCCGATCTCGCCGTCGAACGAGAACATAGTCCAGCAGCTACCAGCGCCGCGATCGGGAGTGCACTCAGGTCAACAGGCGGCAGTGTTCAGCACAGGCTCGCAGGAGGACGAGGCCACTGTCGTTGCTGCCCGTGACTCCATGAGGACTCAGCACTCCCCTCCAGGTGCCTTGTAGACACCAAGGGTAACCAACCTATCCGCTTTCGACACAGTCACCAAGAGGGCGCACAGGTCTTCGTAGCACTTTGTCCTCGCCTCGTCTGAGCCGTTCATTATTGGGGCGTAGGTGCTGACTATGGTGATGAAGTTTGATCCCCGAAGAGGCAGGCGCAGGCTCATCAAACGACCGTCAATGGCCTGCGGCAGACATGGCAGTCGTCCCACAATGTCGTTCCAGAGGGCAAAGGAGACGCCCGCGTCTCGTCGCTCAGCCTTGGGGCGGCCACTCCAGAAAGTGTAGTCGGCACCTAAATCCTCCAGTTGGCTTTGTTCGGTAAAAACAGTCTCTCTCAGTGCCGCGATGTCCACTTTATTGCGCGCCAGTTCCCGAGCGACTAGCGCCGTCCTCCTTTCCGGTCGGTTGCTCTTGGGATCGTCTAAAAGGGAACGAACATTCCGGGCTGTCAGAGTGAACGGACTCATCCTAGCAGCCTGTGGGGCGGGGTAGAGGGGAGAAAGGTAAGAAGGTGGAAGAGAGAGCGTATTGTTTCTCGTTAGTTGGCTTCGACCGCATGTATAGCAGTCTGCGAGCCACGGTCTGCGTGCAGATGTCGTGAACCCAGCACTGGTTTAGAGCACCTTTTACGGCCACCTCTCCTTCGCGGGAGTAAGCTGTGATCTCTCTAAATAGGGCTGCTTAGTCGCACCAGACGGCTGCCGCTGTCCACTGTGGGTCACTAGGTTTAGTGAAAGAATAACCGCTGGCCTGTGCCGCCGACAGAGTTGCATGTCGTCCCCGTCGTAGGACTTTCCGACCGTATGGAAAGCGAGTAGACACGGAGAAGAGGGAGGGAGGAGAAGGTAGGAGGAGGATGGGGTGAGAAGTGGAGGGGAAAGAGGGGGAGGAGAAAGGCGAAGGAGAGGGCGAGGAGAAATGGAGAGCGGAAGGGGGGTGTTACCGTGTGTGGAGATAGACACACGGATACACTGACCTGGATTAGCCCGCCGGTCGAGGCGGTTGCTGGGGTTTTGCCGTCAGACAGAGCCTAGTTTCGAGGAGCCACAAGTCAGAGTTGGGTGCTTTTTAATGGACGCAAGAAATAGTCAGCACCTACAAGTAATTGGGGGACCTACCACAACCATCTCGTGGATTCGCAAATGGACAGCCCTAAACCTGCAGAAGGGAGACAATGGTGGACGGGTTGAAATTATCAAATGCAAACTACAGCGACTTCTGAGTTGGGTGAGTGGGGGGAGGGTGAGCACGAAGATGTATGAATACAACTTGATTAACAACGACTTCAAACAGCCGAAATGTTTGAACATTCCGTATTGTCAGTCAAAAGGAGGACTTAGAAATCCGGTTGAAGATCCTTGTTCGGATGAGACGAAGCCAGACCCCGAAGGGTAATAATGGAAGCCACTTGGGTGGTCTAAACAATGAAATGGAAGTAGTCACCGGCCAATGGCTTTCTTTGTTAACAGCAGATAAATGATATGAAGTAGGGAACTTTGGGAATGATTTAATAAATAAGCCTTCGTTGACTAATTAGAGTACGCATACAAAAATGATTGGTTTCATTATCCAAACACAGTTTTAGCTTAATCGTTGGAAAGCAATTGGTCAATGTGTTCCCCGTAGAGAAATAACTTTAGTTAGATCGAATAGTTCTTTTCTTTCGGCCGAAATTAGCATTACACGGATTGGTTGACACTTTATGTTATATCCTCCCAAAACCGAGTTTACTTGCAAAGGGTCAGTGCTGCTCACCACTTCTCTCGAAATGTGGTAGTGCAATATGGGATGAAGGCTATGGCAAAATCTTGGATGTCTTTGTACGAGACTGTTTATGGCATATCTATCTAGACTGCGGTTCTTAGTGTATACTCCCTATGATAAGTAGTCTCTAATAATTTTAGAATTCGATTTTCTTTTACCTAAGTGCCCAGTGGTCAGAAGACAGTGTTCCCCCTCAAATTAATTTAAAATGACAGGGCTTACTCTGAGGTCACTCGTGTTTTGTCTTGTAGTTTCCTTATCTCTCAAGCCTGTCTATGTTAATTTTGGATTAAATTGGGAACTCTTCCAAGGCTTTCCAACCTACCGATTTTTTTCTTCCTTTGTTTAGATGACAGGGGAGGATCCGCGGAAGTCATTCATCCTCAACGCTTTGGTGAATTATTTTGATACACACGAAACAAACCTCGAAAAGCTCTTCTATCACCCTAGTGTCAATACATTTTTAGACAACGGTAATGCCAGACTACTGCTGGCATCAACCGCAGACAATGGCGAAATTCTACTTTGCAACGAAGTAAAATAACTTGCGTTTTTGTAAGTTCTTCTCAGGTTGACGGTTTGAAGCCAGCCAAGAAGGCGTTCGTTTTCTTGAAAATAGCCCCGCTTCCCATAACGGACGAAAATTTTTCTAAACTCATTATGATAGCCTCATTGCAGGGTGGTGCCGCGCAATCGTTCTATAATAGCCTCGACCGCCTCTATGGCCCATTGATGATGAAGGTAAATGAAGCCATTTTAACTGTCTTTTTCAGAATGAAAGTAAAATGATGCACCAGTTTCCCCGTCTCAAACTTGCGTTGAGTGATCTTGTCTTGGGCCTAGCAGCCTGCACGAAGTCTTCTCAAGATAAAGATGACCAAATCCCAAACGGTTAGCCCCACCGAAGTCGTTTTATATTTCTGCCTACTTACCATGTTAAAGTAGTAATAGCGAAGTTTTTTGAACACCTGTTCAGTTATCTTTGACCTGGCCTCCGAAGCCGACTACTGGCTGCAAAAGTCACGATCAAGTCCACAGGGCATGAATGCCGAACGAATACGCTCCGAATCTATTTATAAAACCCTTAAGCCTGCTGTGGATGCTACTCAACGTCTGGAGTTGCAAGCCATATGCACTAGACAGCCCATGGAATGGACTATTGACAGGGAGAGCCAAGCCCGACCTGAGCACCGACAGACCACCAACGCGGAAGAATTCCTCTGTTCATTATCGGAAGCGCTGGAGACTTCGATTATTGACTGCCTCGATGGAGTCTGGCGCCTCAGAGATGTGGCACCACCGTATCCTGAGTCAAGAATGCGGTCCCTCTTGGAAGCTGTTGGTGGATGGCTTTCTCGTATCCTGATTTCCTATCTAAATCCTCTACACAGCGAGGAAACAAAAGTCATTATATCCCCGTTGTGGGACCGCCCATTTAAGCAGGTCAGTTTTGCTGTTACACGAATCGTCTCACTATATTACACTACTGGATTGCGGTAACATAATCCAATTTATTCATGACCACTAACGAAGTTTTTTGCTGGGTGATGCGCATAACTTCTCATTTCGTCATGTTAGAATCCTGGAAACTGCATTTAAACAGAGCGGCTCGTGATTTAGTAAGTAGAGATGAACAGGCACAGTTTGGACTGTCGAACATCAAATCTAACCAAGCAGGTGTTTCACGTGCATCAGCGATTAGCCCACCAAGACTGGACACCCAACTGAAGTTCTACCAGACAATATCATTCATTAGTAGTCGGGACAGAATCTAAAGCCGTTCCTTACGTTGGGGCTAATTGTCTACGAACGAATTCCACTTTTCAAATCAGACAAAGTAGTGGCACTATGGACGAAACAGGTGGGAGGATTTTCAAACACAACCTAATCAGCGCGGCACTTTTGCACGAAACAAAGTGCGAAATCTGCTTGAGCAGAGTACCGCGCACTAAACTTCTAGGCCGACGATGTCCTTGACCTTCAAAGACCATGCGTGGCAGCAGCAAATGAGCGGAGGCCCGACACGTGTATCAAGAGCGCAAGAGTTGAATGTGTCCATGGCTCCCAGCGGGACCCGTCAAATAACTAACCTCAACCTCAGCAAAATCCGTGGTTTAGTTCAGATGATAGGACCTTGAGACCATCGTGAATCGCTTATTGGAATTCGACTCAAGAGCCCAGGAGTACCGCATTTCAATCAACCTAGTCGAAGTATACGACGGGGGAATCATATAACATCCATCTGTCTGGATTCAGGAATTATTTTAGCGGAAGTTCATGAGGATCTTTGATGTGACATCCATACGGCCAATCATTCAGCAATTGCCACACACTGTCCTCTTGACATTTGTGTAGAGTGAAAAAAAGAGTCATTCCGTGCCACCCAAGTCACGCATAATAAGGGATGTGATGAAAACTGTTGGATAAAAAGTCTGGTGCGATTTTAATGTTCAACTAGCCATCTATGCTGCCTGGAAACATCTCTTCAGCCGAGGGTGGTCGTTGGCGTTGCGGGTATTATCAGTGTTCATATGTTCGCAATCATGGCTCGAGGCATGCTAAAAAAACTCCAGCTACTGTGATTTCAACCGAACAAGAAGATGGATAGCATTTTTATCAGTTCCTCGATATTTTTAGATCAATCTTTTTACACGTCTAAAGAGATTGGGCTTCTAGCAGTGATAGGACTCAAAGGTCAAAAAACGATGTGACTCAAAAGATGTGACTCGAAACAGTCACTAGGGTTATTCTTCATTATTATCAGCTCTCTACCCTCACTGACCTAGCCCTGATCGCTAGATAACTGGTTCGTGGATGGCATTTTTAGGCGCGGAAGAGGATAACAATCGTTGTGCTATGTGACACCCCGTATCAATATGAAACAGCCATGGGAAAATAAACTCGATCGGTAATTCGAGACGGAACCTATCTACGCCTTCTGCCTTTTGTACTTGTCGAGACAATTAAAAAGGGCTTTATGGAAACTGAAGTTCATATGCCAGAAAGCACATGAGTAACGCTGGGGGACCGACTGATGACCAGACCCCTTGTGGCCGCGTCATACAGGCACGCAATTTCGGTGAAAAACCTGTACTCTCGGTATCGTAAATCATTCAGTATTTGTGTCTACGTCCTCGTTTGTTTCAGCATTTTGTTATATCGATAAAGTCATCATTCACGTTAGAGTTTGTTCGAGTGATATTTGAGTGCAGAGCATGTTTCGCAGACCATTTAGAGATAAGTGAACGGTTTCCTGATAAGCAAGCAGCCTCAAGATTGTTCACTGTAACTGCTGTATATCCACACAACGTGTCGGACGTAGGCTTTTGTCGGGTATCTGCAGTTTGAAGTTAAAAAAACTACTAGTTAAGATGATACCGACAAAGACAAGGGAGACGGGAATGGCCATTTCTGTGTTATTAGCCGACATTAGCCAGTCATGCCCAGCCCTATTTATGGATCACTTGAGATTCGAACCCGGGATCTTTGGTCATGGAGTTTGACGCTCTACCATTGAGCCACGGGCCCGTTGTCCTGTAGGTTGTGATCGGAAATATCAATTATGGCAGATGGGCCCTCACCGATCAGGTTACGGAACATGCTTGTTCCGTTGTGCCTTGGATTCTAGTATGAGCCCTAAGGCACAACAGAACGAGCATGTTCCGTAACCGGATCGGTGGGCGCCCATCTGTCATAAACTATT